TCAGTCCTTTTTAAGAAGAAAGTACAAAGAACAACAATCGATCGATCTCTCACTGCCATGCCTTTGCCTAGATTATTTCCCATGTATTTCTTTCTCTCCTCTGACTCAAAGTGGCTAGCTTCCTTCAAGGCTCAGTTTTGCCACATTTCAGACGAAGCCCTTCCTGATCCCCTCAGTTGTTAGTACTTTCCCCCCTTCCCATATTATCAGATATATACTTTTCCATGATGCTAGGTGGTACAGTAGTGGATAGAGTGCTGGGCCTGGAGTCAAACCTAAGTTCAAAGCTGACCTCAGACACTTACTGTGTGATACTGGGCAAGTCACATAACCTCTGCCTGCCTTAGTTTATTCAACTGTAAAATAGTGATAAATATAACACCTACTTCCTAGAGTTTTTCCAAGGACTTAATAAAAAATTTTGCGAAATGCTTAGCATTTAGTAGATGCTTAATAAACGCTTGTTTCCTGCCTGCCTGCCTTATCTCTCCCCATTCCAGTGCATCTTCTACTCAGCTGTCAAATTCATCTTCCTAAAGTGAAAGTCTGACCATATCACCCCCTTATTCAGCAAAATCAAATGGTTCCCTAGTGCCTCTAGGATCAAATATATAATCCTTGGTTAGGTTTTTAAAGATCTTCAAGCCCCAGCCTCTTGTTGCCTTTCCAGTTTTCTTATATTTTACTCCCCTCTGCAATCAGTGATGCTGGCCTCCTTATTCCTTGCACAAGATACTTCATCTCCCATATCCAAAGTCTTCTCTAGTTGTCTCCCTTACCTAGAACTCTCTCTCTTATCTCTGTCTCTCAGCTTCCCTGCCTTCCTTCAAGTCCCACTTTCCATAACAAGCCTTTCTTGATCCCCCTTAATGCTAGTGCCTTCCCTCTGTTTGGTATCTCTTAATTTATCCTGTATATATATATATATATATATATATATATATTTGTACATAATTCTTTGCATGTGGTCTCTCCTATTAGACTCTAGACCAAAGGGTGGTTTTTTTGTCCTTTATATTTGGCTCTCTACAACCTAGCTTCAACCTACTTGTTGAAATATTTGTTTTCTTCAAGGTTCAACTCAAGAGCCACATCTTGTACGAAGCCTTCCCATAATGCCTCTGCTGAAATTGTCATCTTCCTCCTCAGATTTCTCTATAGCACTTTTGTCTATTCTTTCCTTCATATCACGGATCTACTTTATATTCTATCCACCTGTGTACAAACTATATTTTCCCTTCTCTTCTACCTGACCTTCCCTAGTAGAAAGCAAGCTCTTTGAGACAAGTTCTATGACTTTTTTCTGTCCTTGTATCCCTAGCTTCTCTAGCACATAGTAGGTACCTAATAAATGAACTGAATTAACACTATGGGTTATCCTATAGTGGTGCTCTCCCTTCTTCCTCTTTAAATCAGTTTAAATCTCTGTAAACAATTTCACAGTTATGAAACATAATTTCTTTCCAAATTAACAGACAACTCTATCAGGAACATTCATCAGATTTGTTCACTCAGTTTCACTGATAATTGGAGGGAAGTTAGGCTATTACTTTTTACCAACACAGAGAAATCTCCTAGTATTAGGATAAATAGGAAAAAGATTTGTACTAGTCCTTTTGTGCCACATTAGGAGAGATTTTGTGGAAACCGCTAGAGTACAGATGCCCATCAACAAATGGTTCTTCCCCTGAAGACTGCTGGTTTTGCCAGATGTTTTCACCCCAGATGAATAGTCACTATCAGATGTGCTGGGTCCTTGTTCCTCACTAAAGAAATAAGAAGAATGTTTGGGACTCTCAGCAATTTGTTTCTTGTAATGCTCTGCATGTAACAGCACTATTTTGGTATTTACCCTATCACTGGCCTCCTTATAATAGCCAGCATTTAGGTTTACAAAGCACTTTGCATTTTTTATCTCATTTGATCCTCATTATAATCCTGTGAGTCAGGCTATTTTTACCCACATTTCACAGATAATGAAATGAGCTAAGAGAAAAGTTAAGTGACTTATCCATGGTCACACAGCTAATAAATAATGGAGAGTGAATTGAAACTCAGGTTTTTCTGACCTTGTGAGCTTTTCACTACAGCTTATTACTATTACTCATAATTTCTCTCTTAAAAACTCCTCAAAGGGGGAATGACCTACAGGTAGTCCACTTTTTCCCTACTCACAAAAGAGTGATGTTATCAAATCCCCATTCTAAATGCCATTTCTGAAAGCTACTAACCCCTGCCCCTAAAAGATCTATTCCTTCCCATGATGTAGGTACAAATATCTGTAGTTAATTTACTTCATGGGACCAGCTAGGCCTACCAAGAGGGAATTATGCTCCATCTGCACCTCTAACCTGGAATCCTAAACCTTGAGATGGCAGGTTGGTGCCCAACAGTCACAGAAAAGCAGAGCTGATTCTAGGATGAACAAGAAAAAGGACAAACTCCTTATTTCTAGCATTAAGGCTCTCTACCACCTGGCTCCAACCTACCCTCCAACCTTATTTCATGTTACTTCCTTTTCATGTATTCTATGACTACTTCTGCCTTCATGAGGACTCTTCCTCATGCCAGTCTCTAGCTTTGCCCATTTTGCTTCAAGGTTCAACTCAATTGTACCCTTCTCTGAGAAGCCTTTCCTTAACACTTCAGCTAAAATCGTCTCCTTTCAATAAAGATCCTTTGGGGCAAAGGGGGGAAAAGGGTAATTGAAAGTATTAGTCAGTAAGTATCTGTTGAGACTCTTAAAGTCCCTTTCCACATCTAAATCTACACTTCTATGATTCTGGTTCTATGAGTGGTATCCAGGAGGAAATCATACATAAACTAGTAGGTTGTTAGGGCAAGAAGAGGTCTCAAATATCATTAGGCCAACCTGTTTATTTCCTAAATGAGGACACAGGTCCAGAGAGAGAAAAATGGCCTTGCCCAAGGCTTTATAACTATGAAATGTGTCAAACATTATCAACTTCGAAGCAGAGTAGTATGATAGAAAGGGCCCTGGATCTGGAGTTAGTAGAGAACTCGGTTTAAATCCCATCTCTGACACCACATGGAGAAACCTGAACCTGTTTCCTCTTTTGTAAAATGGGAGTCCTTATAATTACCTCAAAGGATTGTCATGAGAATTAAATGAGATAATGTATAGCAAGACCTTTGTAAACCTTGAAAGTCTCTCTTATTATTATTAAAGAGAATTACCTACTATGGTATAGCAAAACTAGCATTAGATTGGGAGGCAGGCAACCTGGACACTGGCAGATCTTCCAGTAATTCCTCTTGTAATTTTGGACAAGACACTTCCTCTCTCTCTGGCCTTAGTTTCCTCTTTTGGAAAATAAGGGGGTTAAGCTAGATTATTCCTAAAATTCCTTTTACTTCTATGACATGGCCCCTGTTCTCATTCAAAATTGAAACCCTCAAAACTTTGTTATGAATATACACAGAAAGTATAAAACAGAGCAACTAAGGACAATTCTTTGGGAAGCTAACAAGGCTTGCTATAAGGACAGTTACGCCCAAGTTCCAAGGGCCAAAATTATCATCACATAAGCAGAGGGCCCGATACACTGATATATACCCACACCCCAACTGAAATGGATAGTTTAACATTGCATGTTAATTACAGAAACCTAGGCTCTTTGCCTAGTTATATTTTGGTCTCTTTTTTTCCTCTGATGGGCAATTCTGGCTCATAGGAAGAAAACATCAAATCAACTTGAACTCTAGGATGGCTTACAGATCAGGGAAATTCTGTCCACTCAATTCACCTATTAGCTAGGTGACTCTACTAATGAGGGTATAGATCATAAAGTGAGGGGTTAATGCTGTCCTGGGATGGCAGAAATCCAGCCTATACTCCTCCCATTCCATTCTTATCCAGCTTTACTTGAATGAAACTTTAACATTTCTTCTCATTAGTTAGAATTATAGATCCATTGGATGACAAAGTTGGAAGGTACCTAAACCTAGGTCTGGAAGAGACCATAGGCCAACTCCTTACTTGATAGAGGAAACTGAGGCAGTTAAGAGGAAGAAGTGGTTTTCCCAAAGTTAGCCACGAATTAGCCATCAGGTAACAAACAAGATAAAAAATCTATCATTTCCAAAGGTTATTTTAAACTTCATCCTCATTTTACAATTGAGATAAGGAGGCCTAAGAGATTAATGGACTTGCCCTTTAACCTTCATACGGCTTTACGACACTTTATAGTGTTAAGAGTTTGGATTTGTACTCTAGCAAAGGCATACTTTTAAAGCTTTGTGTTCGGCAAGCCTGTTTGCCCGATTGCACTGAGGGAGGGGGGGAAGGTGGTATGGGGGGGTTCACATGTGCGACTAATAACTCTCCCCTCAGTCTCCATCCCGTTCTTTGGAAACTGCGGGCTCATAAGGACTTAAGATAGGTCCTCCCAAGGGCCCAAGGACTCCAGCCGAAGAGCGTCGCCCCTTCCGCGCCTCCAGTAATAATCGCTAGCCACGGCTTAAAAACTAAGCACGCGGCCCGGAATAGGGTGCCGCGCGGAGTAAAGACGGCGATCAGCTGGTCACGTGACCGACACCCCCTCCCCACCCTTCCCCCTCCTGGAGTCAGCGCGCGAGCCGCTTCGCCGAAGCTCCGCCGCAGCGCGCGAGGTGGACACTGAAGCCACGCCCCCTCGCCGCTCCTTTCCTCCTAGGTCCCCTCCCTCCTCCCTCCTGCCTCCGCCGCGCGCTATTAGCGCGCTGACGTTCAGGGTATGGTGAAGAAGGGAAAGGCAAGGGGGGGGGCAAAAAGGGCTAATCTCGTACGCCGCGTTCTTTTCCCTCCCTTCTCCCGCCTCTTCCCGAGGTCTTGTGTCTCCACCGCGCAGGGCCCCGCCCCTCTTCTTGGGTGCCACAGCCAATGGGGCAACGGCGCGAGCCACCCGGACCGGGGGCGGGGCCTGCGCGTGGGGCCTGGCGCGCCTGCGCCCTGTCGCCCGCCCCTCGCCGCCAGGAGGAGGAGGAGGAGGAGGAGGAGGAGGTGGTGGTGGTGGTGGTGGACGAGGTAGTGGAGGTAGTGGTGGTGAGGAGGCGGCTCTGAGAAGAGAGGGAGACAGCGTGTGTGAAGGAGCGCCGTCTACGCGTCTCTGAAAGCAGGAGCAGAAGCCTCGGACCGAGGAAGACACTGCCGCCGCCCCTCCCCTTCCCCGCCTCAGGGTCCCCCCCCTTCCCCTCCCCGTCAGGCCGCGCGGAGAGAGCGCCCGAAGCCCCAGGAGGAGGCGGCCGAGGCCCCCCGAGCCCCGAGCGCGCGGACCGAGCGAAGCCGCCCGCCCCGTGTGGTGTGTGAGGTGAAAGGCAGCCGCCCGCCCGCCCCCCCTCTCCCTTCTCTCCTCCCCGGAGCCGGTGAGCGCGGAGAGAGCACCACCATGTCGGCGCCGGCGGCCAAAGTCAGTAAAAAGGATCTCAACTCCAACCACGACGGAGCCGATGAGACCTCAGGTGAGGGGAAGCTGGGGCCGCCGCCATTTTACCCCCCCTCCCTCTCTCTCTCATTCCTCCTCCTTGGGACGCGCGGGGGGCCTGGGGGCGCGCGGGGGGCGCTAGGCGGGGGGGGAGCGGGCGGGCGTAGGAGGGTGGCGCGCGGCGGCGGCCGGCGGCGCGAGGTAGCGCGCGCAGGGAACGGGAAAGGGGGGAGGCCAGGGCCGGCGCGCGGGCCGAAAGGCCCGTCCTCGCGGTGTTGGCGGAGGAGGGGAGGCCATGTTAGCGCCTTTTTCCTATCATAACATTTTTATTTTTTGATGGTGTGTGTACGTGCGTGGTGTGCCCCTACGCATTGTGTTCCTAGGTGGCTCCACCGCCGCCGCGGACGGGGCTCGCAAAGACGGGGGCGCTGCGGCCTGCATCGCGCTGCTCCGGCGGCGGAGGGAGACCCCCTCCACCCCCACTCCTCCCCCTTTCCTCCTCCTCTTCCCTCCTCCTCTTTCCCCCTCCCTCTTCACCCCCCCTCCCCCTCCCCGAGAAGCGGCTCTTTATTGTGTTCCGCCATGATGCTTCTCTCTCCCATCAGCCGCCGCCGCCACATGGTGCAGCTGCCTCTGGACACGGCCCCAGGCCCAGGGCGGCTGGGCTGCTTCCTCCATGGGCTGCAGCACAAGCCGGGCGCTCAGTCCTCCCCCTTCTCCCTTCCCCTCCCCCACCGCCGCGTCCCCCGAGGGCGCTGGGCGGGGTGGGGTGTGGAAGAGGTTGGAGGGGAGTGGAAAGCACGCGGCCAGTTTAGGCAGTGGGCACTGGCCATCTCATTGGGGTGCGGGCCTCGCTGGGGGATGCCCTGGTCAGCACCACGCGTGGCTGCCGGGAAAAGCCCCCCACGTGGGATCTTCATTCCACAAGCAACTTCCCTCACACTGCCCGGGGGTTGAGGAGTTGGGGGCATTTTTTTAGCTCCTTTTAAAAGGTATTAGAATTTTTTTAAAAAAGCCAACAAACCCCTAGACTTAAGCGAGGTTTGGGGGCTTCCAGTTTGGCTTTCAGAGTGAGGGGGAGGGGGTTGTCCCTGAGCTCTTGATGGTTCCCGGAAACGCTTCTCCACCTTCTCCTCACGTCTGATTGTTAACTTGCCCGCCTTTCTCCTTATTAAGAACTTGTTAAAAAACGTATGTTCCCCATTGTCTACGTCTTTTGCCTTTAATCACCCAAAGAAAGTTTTCTTACTTCACACGTGCTTCACAACTTGTGCCCCGAATTCATGCTGAAAACTTAGGACCAACAGCCCGCCAGAAATTTTGTTTGGGGAGGTGGTGGAAGAGCTTAGAGTCTGATCCGGCAGGAATTTGAATTTGACCATATAAGAAGGAGGTAGACTTGAGAAACGATTAGAATGATAGGTTGTATACAATCGCTGCCTTTTAAAAACTGTTTCTGGTGTCTTGGGTTGCAAAATATTCATAGCCTTTGAGAAAACTCAAGCATTGCCACTGTGTTTAAATTGCTAGTGTGTTTATTGTTGGACGCTGGGGGCTCCTGGTTAGCAGCTGCTATTCTATTTTGGAAGTTGTGGATATTTTAAAGCATTATAAGGGAATAGTCTGGTTTCCGTACATAGTTTTGCCTAAAGTTGTTCCATGAAAGAACTGTTTCTTAATGCTTGCTTTGGTAGGGTAAGTAGTTTTTTGCAGCAGTATGGTTTTTAAAAATTAGGTAGCTTGATTGAATATATTGACAATATTTTTCAAATTTTTTTAGTAACTTTAATTAGTTTGAAATGGTTAATCAAAAGAGTAAGATTAAAGATTGTTGAACTTGAAAATTAAAGTAATATGTCCCAAAAGAAACTAAACTTTTTTTTCCAAATGTATATTATCTTAACTTCTTTTTTTGCAGAAAAAGAGCAACAGGAAGCAATTGAACATATTGATGAAGTACAGAATGAAATAGACAGGTAAACTGAAGTGGGATGGGCTTTTTGTTTGGTTGGTTGGTTTTTGTTTTGAAGCCTAAGTTGCTTTAGAGTACAGCATCTGGTACATAGGGGCTTAATGAATACTTATTAATTTAAAAGTGACTTTGGAATATGCCTGATGATTAGTGAATAATTTAAGTAGCCAGTAAAGTGGCTTGCTTTGGTTGGAAATCTTAAGGTTCAGTATTTTACTCCCAAAAACATTTGGGCAGTCACCAACCAGTATTTGGTGAAAGATTGACCTTGTAGGGGTTGTATTTGACTTTGAAGGATACTAATTATCTGACTTAGCTTGTGGACATCTGATGAATTTGAATTATGGAATCAGTATGTGAGTCACGCCATAACTTTGCAACTTACTGGTCTTGGCTTAAATTCCTGTTGGTTTGAGGAAATCAAAATTGAAAGTTCTGATAAAAGAGATTCGATAAATAATCTATGTAATCAAACACTTGCTCATTTAGAAAGGAATTCTTTAGTAATCTCAATTTATTGTTTATTATTTACTAGGTTTCCTTAGTAAATGATGAGATTTAGTTGATTTTTTTTCCCTAATTTCATGTTCAAGTGAACATTGGTTAGGCTTTTGATTTTATGGATTAGGTGATGATGAAGGAAATTAACTTGTCAGTTTCCAGGCTAGTTTTGAATTTTTCCTCTAACAGACACTTTTTGCACTGGGTCCTAATATTAAAAACTCCAAAGCTCTAAGATACAGCTTCATTTTTGTACGTGTCAGTCTCTAGACTTCGCACTGTAGTAAACAATGTTTTTCTTTTGCTTCAGACTGAATGAGCAAGCCAGTGAGGAAATTTTGAAAGTAGAACAGAAATATAACAAACTCCGCCAACCCTTCTTCCAGAAGAGGTCAGAATTGATCGCCAAAATACCAAACTTCTGGGTAACAACATTTGTTAACCATCCGCAAGGTACGTTACCTGTTACCTGTCTTTGAGACAGGTGAAAGGGGGGAAGGGCAAAAAAATTTTAAAATAGTGGGATTTTTGAAGAGTCCAGCCACATGAGAGAACAGTAATCTGAATCCTAGAGTTAAACTGAGAGGTATGCTTATCACCTACAGTGGCAGAGCTAAATAAGAGCCTTAGGGAATGAAAATTAGTGACACTTATTTTGAATATGTTCTTAATTAGTAACAAATTCAGTGTATGTGGATGGTTTTCCTTTGTTTACTGGTGTGTGTTGAATTTTTGGGAGTCTAAGAAGTAGCTTGATTTGTACCAAACTAAGTCTTCAGCTTGTCTGCTATCTGTTTAGAAGGGGTTCATAACTGTTTTTTGTGTGAAAGTTGTAGCGTGTTGACATGTAAAAAAATTCAAGAGGTTAATTGGCCTGTGGTACTATTTTTTGGCTGTTCTTATCTAGTATCTGCACTGCTTGGGGAAGAGGATGAGGAGGCACTGCATTATTTGACCAGAGTTGAAGTGACAGAGTTTGAAGATATTAAATCAGGTTACAGAATAGATTTTGTAAGTAATCCCTTGTCAGAATCTTTATATTATGGGAGTTCTTTACATGGGACTTTCTATGGTATTATAAATATGGGGTACGTACATTTACAGCCATGTTCATTTAACAGTGTTTCTATGTTTTACTATAGTATTTTGATGAAAACCCTTACTTCGAAAATAAAGTTCTCTCCAAAGAGTTTCATCTTAATGAAAGTGGAGATCCATCTTCAAAATCAACTGAAATCAAATGGAAATCTGGGAAGGTATATACAGGACTTTTTTTTTTAATAACTTGAGAATGAATTATTTCTAAATGTTAACATTTTTAGGAGAGGGGTGGGGCATAAATCTTAACTACTGATTATATCCTTGATGAGAGTATCTGATCTGATAAGGTATTTTTTTTTCTTTTTAAAAAGTTAAATCAGACCAAGAAAATAATAAATTGAGATTTTTTTTACTTTTAAGATAGTTTTTAATTGTTTTCTAAGACACAAAACTTAATAAACTTGAGGAAAAGATGCTTTCTAAACTCTTTAAACTTGTCTTAGAAAGTACTGTTAAAGTCTTAAGATCAGTTGGTTTTTTAAATAACGAAAGGGTTTATCCAATATTTAGGGATTATTATGAATATTTTCAGGGTGTAATGTGCTTTTATTTTTGAATCTTTAAGTCTCCCTATTTCTTCTCAGGACTTGACGAAACGTTCAAGTCAGACACAGAATAAAGCCAGCCGGAAGAGGCAGCATGAAGAACCAGAAAGCTTTTTCACTTGGTTCACTGACCATTCTGATGCAGGTGCAGATGAATTAGGAGAGGTCATTAAAGATGATATCTGGCCAAATCCCTTACAATACTACTTGGTATGTTTTAGAGTTTGTAGTTTTCTTTTATAATGTACTTACAAGTCTGATTAGAGTGAGTTCTTAAGATACCTGTAATTCTTCAGGTTCCTGACATGGATGATGAAGAAGGGGAAGGAGAAGAAGATGATGATGATGATGAAGAAGAAGAAGGCTTGGAGGACATTGATGAAGAAGGTGATGAAGGTGAAGAAGATGAAGATGAAGATGATGATGAGGGAGAAGAAGGAGAGGTGAGAACATAAGATATAAGATAGTTGACATTTCCTAAACAAATATGGAGTGGTCAGTTAATTTGCAAGTGAATGCTTGAAAAATAAGCATATGTCCTTGAGTTTATTTCTTTTTAATGTTTACTCTTTTCTACCTTATGTATCAAAGGAATCTTACAGTTATTCTCCTAACTAGATGAACAGTGCTACTGGGGGTAGTTGCAGCCCCTCCTCTTAAAGCAAATCTCGTTAGAATTAAAGGACTCAAGTACAGCAAAATCACTGTATAACCGAATAATTAGGATAGAATCATAGAGTTTGTTGTTGGGATATTTGTTGAGAATTTCAATCTTGTTTTTTTGTTGTTTTCGTGTGGTATGTGTTGGCGATGAAAATTTAAATTTAAAATTGAATAATTATTTGGAATTAATGAGAACATTAGAAGCCTGAGGAGATTAATATGATCCTCAAAAGCCAGCTCAATTGTTGTTTGTTGAAAGGCTACTTTAGCATTTGTCTGTTACCTGCCATTTGTAGTTTTGTAAGACTCAGAATCCAGGTTGGGCAGAAAGATTGCCTGAAAAGTGGTGACTTTTCAGCAGAAATTAACTGATATCCCTTTTTCCCCCCCACAACAGGAGGATGAAGGAGAAGATGACTAATAGAACACTGATGGATTCCAAACCTTCTTTTACCTTTTTAATTTTCTTCAGTCCCTGGGAGCAAGTTGCAGCCTTTTTATTTTTATTTTTTTTCTCTTGTGCGCATTCGCCTTGTTCTCTTGAGGTCTCTTTCCTCTTTACACCATGGTTCACAACTTTTTTGGGGTGTGGGGGGGAAATACCTTGAGCAGAATACAGTGGGAAAAGAATCTCTACCAGTTTCTGTTCCAAGTTCATATTTTTATCCCTTCCTATCTCAAAACAAACTGTTTATGGAATCAACACACTGTGTTCTGTGGGAAAAAAGAAACCTTCTGCTCCCTTCACACTGCTGGAAGCTGAAGGGTGCTAGGCCCCTGTGTAGTAGTGCATAGAATTCTAGCTTTTTTCCTTCTTTCTCTGTATATTGGGCTCAGAGATTACACTGTGTCTCTATGTGAATATGGACAGTTAGCATTTACCAACATGTATCTGTCTACTTTCTCTTGTTTAAAAAAATGAAAAAACAAAAAAAAAACATGGGGTTATAGCAGGTCAGCAAGGGTGGGTTTGAGATGTTTGGGTGGGTTAAGTGGGCATTTTGACAACATGGCTTCTTCTCCTTTGGCATGTTTAATTGTGATGTTTAACAGACATCCTTGCAGTTTAAGATGACAGTTTTAAAATAAAATTCTCTCCTAATGATGACTTTGAGCCCTGCCACTCAATGGAGAATCAGCAGAACCTGTAGGATCTTATTTGGAATTGACATTCTCTATTGTAATTTTGTTCTTGTTTATTTTTAAATTTTCTTTTTTGTTTCACTGGAAAGGAAGATGCTCAGTTTTAAACGTTAAAATGTACAAGTTGCTTTGTTACAATAAAACTAAATGTGTACACAAAGGATTTTGATGGTCTTCTCTCAGAATAGACTATTTCAGACCTCCTTCCCTTCCAAGTCTGACGTAATTATTGTTGAACTTTCAGTGTCACCAAATCTGGCACATTTGTTTGATCACTGTTATGATGTGCACTTTGCAAAATTACCTCAGGGCTGTATGGACTGATGTACTAGAATTGAGTCCGAGTCAGCGTGCCATTGTCCACAGCTGTAAAATACCTTAATGTAAGGTGGCTGGAATTCATCCTTGAATTATGCTATCAAGTATAGAGTAGGTCTGGCAATCAAAAAGCATTTATTAGTGTGATGTGCACACTTATTTTTACAAAGGAAATGCAACTGCTTCATAGATTGTGATATTCTAATAGATACATGGAGTTGAACAGCAAAAATGTTGCTGTTAGTGCCTCCAGTCAGACATATTTGGTGCTATAGTGTCCAATTTACAGCTAGAACTGGTGTTGATCTGTATTGGTTGGTTTTATAAAGTGTATCCGAGGAGAGGAGTAAACCATCAATTAAAAGTGGGTGCCTCGGGGTAAGGGAACTCAGGTTAGGTGTACTTAATTTTGTTTCCTCTAAATTACCACCTCTTAAGCAAAAAAAGAATCCAAATGAAACTATTTGTTAACCTGGTGAGATACAGACTATGCTTTGCTAAATGCCATGGTGCATATGAACATTTTTCGAAAGTTGTTGCCTAATGTGTAGGCTTCTAATGCTGTAAAATTTAGTAGCTAAAAGTTTTCTGACACTTATATTTTTAAAGATGTGAGTTCAAGGCTGGCCTGTTAAAAATGCAAAAGCTTTTTGATGTATGAAATGATATAGAGAACTATTCCATCAAGAGGCAACTCGTAATAAAACCTGTTTAGGTGGATAGAATGTAATTTTTCTGCACAGGTCTTTGTGTTTAGTAATACATCACTGTGTAAGGTCAGGAATCTTGCTCCAATAAAGGAACATAAAGATTCTTTGGACTGGGGTCCTTCTCGTTTTATAAGCAGGGATTTTTGTTTGTAAACTTTAATGGTAATTTACTAATTTATGTCCTCTTTCTGGGTGACTGCTGTAATTTGTGGGCTTGGGGAAGGGGAAAATACTTTGTTAGAACTCTGGTAAATGACCCTGGGCAAGTAATGTCATTTGATAAGATAGTTTCTAAGGTCTCTACTTAATGTCACTTGTTTTTGAGAGGAAAAAAGATTGTTGTGCTTCTACCTAGGTTTGTAAACAAATACGCTCATTCAGTTGTTGGGCAAGAAATGTATTAATAAAAGCCATAAAGGTTGGTAGTGGGGAGGGGTTGAAATGCTCTTTTGAATGACCTTGGATGTGTTTTTTGAGTGAAAATCCTGTTTTGAAACTGATTTTTTTTGTATGTAATTATTTTGGAGTAATTTCATCACTAATAGGTTGTATCCAGGCTTCTCATAGAACTGTTTGGGATATGTTGGGTCTGAACCTTCGGTGTTTCCTCAGCAAAATTTAGAAATGAATTTAATTGGTTAAAAAGGAATTGCTGTCCTTATCTTGCAAGATAGCTCATAATTCCCTAAGTGTTTGGTTTTTCAGAAGAATAAAATTGTAAATAAATAATCCACTTTAAAATCGTTCAATAGTGCCCTGACTTCTTGGGCTATCCATATTTGTTACTTAAATATGTCATTTCACTGAAACCACTTAGTTTAAGTGGTTTAAGTATTCCTGAATTGTTCCTGAGTTATTCATCTGAGTTTCTTGAAATTGTGGGGAAAGCAGCAGCCTCTAAATCAGTAGTGGATATTAATTCTTTTGGCAAATCGGTACACTTTCAAGAGGGTTTAGAATTATTCTGTTAGCTTCTCTGTTGTAGAACTAGTTGCAGTAAATGGAAGGAGGGGCAAGGAAGCAGATTTATACTTTGAAGTAAGGAAACAATTCAAGTTATCTTCAAGCAAAACAGGCTTCTTTTGATTTAGGTGGGCACTTGCCTTTAACGAGGTATTCAGCCAGGATGAGTGAACATTTGTCTAATATGTAGTGTGAGGATTATTAGGGTGTGGGTTGAATTAGATATTTTAGAGCAACAGTCCATTTGGTGTGGAGAAATTTGAGAAATTTTGTAAAGCCCCCATTATGTTTAAGATTTCTTCAGGACTCTAACCCCAAAGAAGTTGTTTATGTGAGTTTTATCTATGAATATATTAGAAATTTAAAGGTATGGTATTAAAAAATGTTTTTGTTGAGGGCACCCTGCAAGGACCTGAAGGACTCCTAAGATTTTCTTGGACCATGCTTTGAGAAGCCTGGTTTAGAGTAAACTTAAGCTTAGCTAAAGAATATTTTGTGTACAATAACAGTACACTAAATAGATGGATTAGTTTGGCAGCATGTTTGTTGTGTAATGCCACCGCCTAGAAAATAGTGCAGAATTGATTTTTCTAAGTATTGTTAAGGAGATTGGGGCAGCAAGTATCTGGTAATAATGAAATGTGCTTGACAACTATAATTCACCTCAACTGTATCCTCAATGCATTCTATTATCTATGGTTTTTGTCATGTGCAGTTGCAACTATTGTGCATTTTACAGTGTTGAGGGAGGAGCAAAACTGCTGGTTGAGATAAATGTTTTTCAAAATGTCTTACTTGTTTGGAGACCTTATGGTTTGAGAACAGCATGGTGCAGTGGTGGAAGCAAAGGATTAGATGTCAAAACTTGGTTGAAATCTCGTCTGTTACTGTCCTGTCCATTTAACTTTTGGCAAAAACCTCTCTGGACTGGGGTTTTGAACTAAATTATCCCTTCCAACTCTAAAAATCTCATAATTCGTTCATGTCTAAGGTTAACTGCAATGCCGTAGGCTGTCAATTAAAAGTTCACACTGAAAAAAGTTATCACTTTTGAAGGACCAAGATTCTTTACAGTCTTCAGTAGAGAGGAAGACAGAAATGGTAACAATGATGTAAAAACAAGAATACTTGTTTACTGGAGAATAAATACCATTAGATGACTAGTGGAGCTACTTTGGCTTTTCTGAGGGCCTAGGAGAAGACAGGTAATCAGTTCTTTGGGAACCTCCACAGATTGGTGTCCTTAGTTTGAGAGCCATTTAATAAACAGATTTTATACAAATTGGGGAGATTGAAAGGGTAGCCTATTAAAATCACTTTAGGCATTTGGTTAATTGCTTGAGGGAGTGTTCCATCACAGCCACGTAGGAACATCAATTTTATGCATAGAAACCTTTTTTTCCCTTCAAGTGATAGCTTTAGGTGGCATGGTGGATAGAGTGCTGGGTCTGGAGTCAGGAAGACTCTTCTTCCTGAGTTCAAATCCAGCCTCAGACATATAGTAGTTGTGTGACCCTGGGCAAGTTGCCTTGACCCTGTTTGCCTCAGTTTCCTCATTTGAAAAATGAGCTGGAGAAGGAAATGGCAAACCACTCTAGTTATCTCTGCCAAGAAAATCCCAAAAGGGATCATGAAGAGTTGGACATGACTGAAAAACAACTAAACAACAAAGCCTTATTTGTGAAGCTAGACTCAGAAAAGGTCTTCTGCTTGAGTGTGCTATGAGAACTAAAGATGAGTATAAAATCTGCTATGGTGATTGCTTTGAAGGAACTAAAGCTAATTTGGATATAGTTTGAGTTTGTTTAAAAAGTCAGAGTTGCTGCTCCAACACCCTTCTGAATATTTTTTTTTCAATTAATATGAGAACTACAAGAGTACTTGTGGAAAGGTTAAAGGGCAAAGATCTTGGTTTTGTGGTTAAAACAGGCATTTTAGGGCTTTTGAGATGTAGGTTATTTGTAAATCTGATAGATGATAGCCTTTGTTTAGATTCACATACAAATTCTATGTACTGCTAAGATAAAATGGTAAAGAAAAGATATTAACCTCATGCAGGCTGCATCTTCTACAGCTGTTTATGACAGTTTGACCTATTTGGATTTGGAATGGGAGGGGAGTTGGTTTTCTCCTTTATGGTGGTGATTTAAATGTTTACAGAGTGATCAGAGAAATTTGTTTTTTTCCTAAGCAGCATAAGCTGGAAGATCAATTCTCTTATTTCCTAATATCCAACTACTTTGTCTTATGAGAAAGGTTTTTTAGAGATCCTTAATGATCTGGTAAGTCTTGGGATTCAGCAGCTTTGCAGCGCATTCAGTAACTTTATTCTTTTACCAGATCAGAGCAGGAAAGGGATAGAACAGAATTAGAGAGGAAAAAGGGCTAGTTATCTCCCAGATCTTTGTTCTCAAAAGGGTATGTACTGAAGTCCTCATACACTGATCAGTGTTGGGAAATAGTCTCCTTTACTCTTATCCTAACATAATCCAGTCATGGCTGTACTGAGAGATGATTAGGGCCATTAATTAACAGTTCAGACACTCAGCAGTGGCTAGAATCCCATAAGTCAGTGTAACCCCATTTGGCTCCCCAGAAGTGTTAAGGTGAATAAATGCATATTTTAAAATGTCAGCAACAGGTGCTAGGTAATCTGTTTACTTCATCAGTGATGACTTACAGAGAAACTGTCAGCATGACATTCATTTATTCTCATCTGCATGCTTGAATCAGCCATCACTGATTTTCTGAGTTTGGGACAAATGGAAATAATTCAGGTTTAGAGGACTTCATAATTCTGTCCTCTTTTCCTTATGTTGATACTGCCTTGCTGATTTCCCATGTGTATGTGTCATCTGGATTAGGGAGCCTAGTATCCTGTATTGTCTAGTTCTAATTTGACTTTTGCTTTCTGATCTCAAAGTGATACACAGTAAAACCCAGTTCATTTTCATGGAGAAAAGGCATTGGGAATCATACCTAAAATTACAAACATCCCTGACTGATCACTGACAAATTTTCATTCATCAAAAGATATCAATTAAGTAATTTGTACGCTAGAGCTTTGTGCTATTCTTTGTACTAAGTAATTTAGATAATGTCCTTAACCTTCCTAAGTACCTATAATTTGATAGGCTGATGACATGGACAGAGCATGAATTAACAAAATGCATAAATACTTGCCTTAAAAAGGGCTGGTGACTAGGCAAGTCAGAGTTGAATGTAGGTAATGAAATACCACAGAAAAAATTGTAACTAATATGGCCCCTGGAAGACTGCTGTCTTAAACCCTACTAATTATCCTAATTTCCCATTACAATTTCATTAGAGTTTTGACAATTTTCTGAAGGGTTACATGTTGCTTAGGTCTGAAAGAATGACTTTGTAGAACAAAGGCTGGACAGTGTTCCCTGTTGAATAGTTTAGTTTCAGTTCAGGCAGGTAACGGGGGTGATTGTGGTGGCAGAATTGAGTAGCATGTTTCACAGATAGCCAGGTCTTGTCTTCCCTGATTGGGGATCTTGTAGTGGGGCTAATGAGGCTGTCTAGGACTGTAATAGTCCTTGGAAGGACATTAAAAGATAATTAGTCCCTGCCCTCAAGGAACTTAAAATTATCCTTTATCGTACATAGCTTTATATCTAATTTCATTGATTCTTCACTAACTTCCCTATGAGGCAGATAAATAAGGACACTAGGTTTTATATTATTATTATATATAATATATTATTTATATTGTAGTTGATAACTTATTTATCTGCACTTAGGTCTAATCACACTCTTGTAATTTATAGATTTCTTGAGGGCTGGGACTGCCTGTCTTGGTATTAACTCCAGTACCAAGTACAGAACATTGCATGGAGTAGGTATTTAATAAATGCTTATTAGATGAATGAAGACAACTGAAGATTTTAAATTGAGAATGGCGTTTTTGGAAGACCCATAACACAAGAAAGAGTGATGATCTGAAGCCTTGGAGTCTACCATTGATTCTTCAGTTTCCTTATCTACAAAGTGATGGAACTGGACTAGATTTTATTTAACAAACATTTATTAAACACCAACAATCAAACTTGGCTCTAAAGAGATTCTGTGAATTCCACTTCCCTTCTATCTTTGCAGAAGTGGGGGACTATGGATA